AACCAAATTTCCCTCAAATTTATTTCTACTAAAACTTAATTCTTAATCCAACAATTTATTCTTAACTCCATCCAACCATTTTTAAAATTAATAACCATTCATTGACATTAAATTGAATTGAATTAAAATAATTAGTAATAATTATGAAAAAAAATACTAAGAAATCGTTAAAAAAAAACAATTAATTTTCATCAGAAAAATCAAAATTAACTTCATTTTTTTAAAAATGTACTTAAACAACAATAATAACTAATTCTTATAATACAAATGCTAAAGTAGAAAGAAATTATGACCATAATTTCCATAATACAAAAATGAGACTCCAAACATTGACTAGACTTATATGAATAGACTAAATATAACCATTATAATTTGTTCCATTGCATTAATTTCCTGCATGAGAACAAAACTTAATGCAATAAACTCCAACCAACAAGTCTGTAAAATTCAGAACTTCCTCCTTTCTTTTGCACGTTTCAGTTAAGCTCGATAGAGTGTGATGTTTTTTAAATTCATGCAAGTAATAGACTGCATTGAAAATATGTTTCTTTCAATGCCTATCTTACCTGTAAGCTGAATCTTTTTTATCAGCAAGCAACTCATCTGCAAACGTGTCAGAGCCACCTAAGGCGAGTTTCTATCATCTCTTTTACAATAGGCGCTAGTCCCTTAACTCTTTGTCTGTCTCTAATGTTGTCATTTCTAATCCTATCATGTCTAGTCTTACCATATAATTCAACTAAATGAATGTATAATTGATAAAAAAACAACCCGTATCATTAAATGTTCAGTTAACTAGTGTAAAAAATGATATAGACAACTAAACAAAAAGATTTCAACCTTGGTTGCATTAATAAAAGGCAAAACTTGCTTTAGATCATACCGTCCTTTTCCATCCTTTTCCAGAAGTATCCTTAACTTGCTGTCTCAATAACTTATTTAATTTTCTGAGATCATTGGGAGGAACCAATAGTCCACTATTCGGAATTTGGTTTGTTATTCGGTCCCTTGGCTGGAAATTGGGCATGAGATGGATCATCTCCGACATTCCTGAACAAAAATGAAATGCACAGTGAAATTTTAAAAACAAGATGATAACTAAAACCTAACAAAAATTCATAAAACTACGGTAAATCAGAGTTATCAATCTCGAATGGCGTAGTGGAGCGGAGCGCCGGCCAATCCCAAAAATGGTATTGCAGAATGACTAGTATTAAATTATTTATATGAATAATGACTATAAGCATAAATCAAACAAATAAATCAATAATACCTATAAGAGATTCATAGGTCGAATTATAAAATTATTTTTTAGACAAATTATATGAATAATGACTATAAGCATCAATCAAACAAATAAATCAATAATACCTATAAGAGATTCATAGGTCAAACTATAAAAACACAGAGTTTAATCAAAAACTCATAATCAATTCAACATTAACAAGTTTTAAATTTAATTGAAACATCATTGGTCAAAATTCAAACTAAGAGAAAAGGAAGGTCAATCTATCTTCATTCACATGTTTTATTTTCTCTGTTTGACTTTGACTCAGAAGGAGGAGAAGAAGGAGCAACAATTAGATAAGAGAAGAAGGCTAGCTATAGGCTGAACACAGGCCGAACACATGCCTGTTTTCGCTTCCCCAGAGTAATACTATTATATTAAGAATTTAGATTAACACTATTCTTCTTCAAACAAAGCAACCTTGTATATAAAGAAACAGACTCTGCCAATAAAACAAATGAAAATATTGAATGAAAATATTGATCTAGATGAAAGATTTAGATAATTTTTACAGGAAGAAGAAGAAAAGTACCGGCAAAGACGAAGACGGCGGCGTGGGAGGCTGCACTGGCGGCGAAGATGGTTTGTCCTTCGAATGAAATCGAATGCGAGAGAGGAGAAGACAAACAGAGTCACTATTCTTCTTCAAACAAAGCAACCTTGTATATAAAGAAACAGACTCTGCCAATAAAACAAATGAAAATATTGAATGAAAATATTGATCTAGATGAAAGATTTAGATAATTTTTACAGGAAGAAGAAGAAAAGTACCGGCAAAGACGAAGACGGCGGCGTGGGAGGCTGCACTGGCGGCGACGATGGTTTGTCCTTCGAATGAAATCGAACGCGAGAGAGGAGAAGACAAACAGAGTCGAACGAACGCGAGAGAGGAGAGTTTTCGGCAACCGGCAACCTTTTATTTTCCGGCCAGTTGAGTTCGGGGTGATTCCGGTTTGTTGCTTCGATGGAGCTACTGAGTTGTTGTATTGCTATAAGGTTTAATTTTATTTGGAATTTACGGTTTTTTTACCAAACTCATACCACATGGGAATTGATTTTTATACTGATATATCTGCTTATGGATACTCAAGTATTTGTATTTTATACTGATCTGACCTGATCAGGAGGGGATCACTGCTTATGGATACTCAAGTATTTGTATTTTATACTGATCTGACCTGATCAGGAGGGGATCACTGGATGGCCACGCTCCGTTGGACTGCTTCCTGTTCACCGATGTGGAGGATGAGGATGGGGTGTACCTGCAAGGCACTCCGATGCCAAAGTGAGAAATTGGGCAGAGTGACAGCAAATACAGAAAGTTGGTAGAGAATTGAATTACCTGACCCTCTTGAGGAAGAGGGTATTTATAAAGAGACCCCAGCGCTGGGCCAACGGTCATTTGAGATGGATTGGATGACCAGGCCCAACCCTAATGACTGCTAGGGCTTACGTGGCGTAGTGAAGACCAGGACGTGGTCTTCGCCCTAGTCCAACTGCTCCTAGATCTCCGGAAAGTGGGTTTGACCTGCTCTTTCGGAGGTGGGCAGTTGGTTGATGACGTGTCCCCGCGGAGGGGAGCACGTGGAGAACGTGCACCGGGCACGTTGTTCTCCCCGCGGAGGGGAGCTCGCGGGGTGCCCGGAGCGCGTTGTTCTCCCCGCGGAGGGGAGCTCGGGAGGTGCCCCGGAGCGCGTAATTCTCCCCGCGGAGGGGAGGAACCAAGGCCGCGCTTTGGTGTGCCGGGGTTGGTTCTGCTCGGCTGGTAAGAGGGACGACGAGCTGCTGTTGGATGCGCTGCTCGTGTCGGCAGCATGCCCTGCTCGTCTCGCGGGACGCACGTGCCCGGCGTGTCCGATTCGCTTGTTGGGCCGTACGTGGTATTGGGCCTGCCGAGGTCGGGCCCAGACCGAAACATATACTTTTAGTAAAAAATAAATTTATCCATTAAAATATATTGGATCATTTTAAATTTTTAACAAAATTAATAAAAAGTTCAAAGATACTATTATTAAATTATGAAATAAATAATTTAATTATAATATTTTTTTTAAATAGATAAACATACAATTTTATATGATGATATAAATTAAAATATATAAATAAACTTTGCGCGGATATGGAACGAGGTGGATTCTAAGATACTTGTATCCATTATATCTACTTATTTTAATGGATAATTATTTGTGTAATTTTAGATGTTTTTACCTTATTTGTTGTGGGTATTTTTTTGTTGGTGCTCATTAAGTATGAATCCAATTGTCATCCATAAGACGTATATAAAATATGTAACATTACATAGGCCAACACTTTTAAGGCATCCGGCCTATGATCTTAGAACAAAAAATAAGCACCAACAAAAAATACCTACAACGAATAAGGAAAAAACATCTAAAATTGATAGGCACACAAACACAAATAATTATCTATTAAAATGAGTAGATATAATGGATACAAGTATCTTAGAATCCACCGGTCCCATATCCGTGTAAAATTTATTTATATATTTTAATTTATATCATCATATAAAAATGTATGTTTATCTATTTAAAAAAAATATTATAATTAAATTATTTATTTCATAATTTAATACTAGTATCTTTGAACTTTTTATTAATTTTGTTAAAAATTTAAAATGATCCAATATTTTTTAATGGATAGATTTATTTTTTACTAAAACTAAGGGTATAAAATACAAATACCCATAAGCAGATATATCACTATAAAAATTAATTCCCATGCACAACTAAAAACCTAAATTCTAAATAAAACTAAACCCTATATCAATACAACAACTCAGTCACTCCATCGAAGCAACAAACACTCCAAAGCAACAAACCGTAACAAAGCAACAAACCGGAATCACCGGAAAATAAAAGGTTGCCGGAAGCAACAAACACTCCATCGAAGCAACAAACCGGAATCACCGGAAAATAAAAGGTTGCCGGAAACTCTAAAGAAGTTGATTCCTCTCTCGCGTTTGTTCGACTCTGTTTTTCTTCTCCTCTCTCGCGTTTGTGTTTGTCTTCCCCTTTCTCGCCTTCGATTCCATTCGAAGGACAAACCATCGTCGTCGCCCTCCCACGCCGTCTTCGTCTTTGCCGATACTTTTCTTCTTCTTCCTGTAAAAATTATCTAAATCTTTCATCTAGATCAATATTTTCATTTGTTTTATTAGCGGAGTCTCTTTATTTATAGGCAAGGTTACTTTGTTTGAAGTTATAGGCAAGGTTACTTTGTTTGAAGAAGAATAGTGTTAATCTAAATTCTTAATATAATAGTATTACTCAGAAGAATAGTGTTAATCTAAATTCTTAATATAATAGTATTACTCTAAGTTTGAATTTTGACAAGTGATGTTTCAATTAAATTTAAAACTGGTTAATGTTGAATTGATTATGAGTTTTTGATTAAACCCTGTGTTTTTATAGTTTGACCTATGAATCTCTTATAGGTATTATTGATTTATTTGTTTGATTTATGCTTATAGTCATTATTCATTTAATTTGTCTAAAAAATAATTTAATACTAGTCATTCTGCAATACCATTTTTGGGATTGGCCTGCTCCACTACGCCATTCGAGATTATTCGAAATTGATAACTCTGATTTAACGTAGTTTTATGAATTTTCGTTAGGTTTTAGTTATCATCTTTTTTAGGCCTTATGCATTTTGTTTTTAAATTTCACTGTGCATTTATTTTTGTTCAGGAATGTCGGAGAAAAAGCCAGTGGTTGGCCTCTCATGGCAACCACAGTTGCCTTTTCCATATGATCCATCTCATGCCCAATTTCCAGCAGCCAAGGGACAGAATAACACTATCTGGAAACCAAATTCCGAATTGGTTGGTGGACTATTGGTTCCTCCGAATGATCCCAGAAAATTAAATAAGTTATTGAGACAGCAAGTTAAGGATACTTCTGAAAAAGGATGGTATGATCTAAAGCAAGTTTTGCTTTTATTAATGCAACCAAGATTGAAATCTTTTTGTTTAGTTGTCTATATCATTTTTTACACTACTTAACTGAACATTTAGTGATACGGGTTGTTTTTTTTATCAATTATACATTCATTTAGTTGAATTATATGGTAAGACTAGACATGATAAGATTAGAAATGACAATATTAGAGACAGACAGAGAGTTAAGGGACTAGCGCCTATTGTAAAAGAGATGATAGAAACTCGCCTTAGGTGGCTCTGACAGATGCAAGATGCAGAGTAGTCAAATAACTAAAGGCACAAAAAGCCTAGAAAAATGATTGATCTAGAGATTATTGAGTTGGATAGAGATATAATAATGATATTAGAGTATAGTAGCAAGTCTGTAGCCGTTTGCATATAATTAGCAAAAAATAGTTAGAAAGCTCTAGAAGGTTTTTACAACAACCATGTGCCGAGCTGTAACTGAGTGTAACTACCTCAGTTCAGACTCGGCCTATTATAAATAAAAGTTGGCTATTTCATTGTAAAATTAACATTCATTTTCTCATAAATTCATTAGAGTTATAAACACAATTCTCTCTTCTGTCAACTCTTATAAAACTAATATGAACAATTCTTCATTCCCATAAATAGAAGGGACGAAGAATTGTTCATATTGATTTTGTAAGAGTTGACAGAAGAGAGAGTTGTGTTTATAACTCTAATGAATTTAAGAAAAAATGAATGTTAGTTTTACAATGAAATAGCCAGCACTTTTCTATTAAATGATTGAACATTATGGCATCCGGCATATGATCTAATGTAGCCGATCACACTTAGTGGGATGAGACCTTTTTTTGTTTTGTTTGATTGTTTGTTTTGAAAGGATATGACTTGGCTGTTGTTGAATATTTATTTATACATTTCCTTTGATTTTTATGTTTGCTGTGTGCTCTTACATTAGAAATCATAATGGGAGTTATCTAATTATATTTAAATCTTTACAGGTTTGGCATGCCTGCTCAAACCATGACCCCTGAGCTACAGAGAAATCTGAAGTTACAAAAGGTGATTGATTTTTGGACATTATGTTCCATCCCCCCCCAAAGTGGATCTGGAATATATTCATTTTTCAATATGATGACATGATGTTTGCTTATATTAAGTTGATAAGCATGACATATACATACACTAGTTTCCTCGATGATAAGAAAGAATGAAAAGCAAGTGTAGGATACTGTTTTTCTGCAAAGATTTGGTATTTACAAACTAAAAAATCAGTTAGATTTAAGAGAGTAGTTTATTTTTGAAGGTAGGTTTTCTAGTTAATCTCTCACATCAATTATAGTTCACTTCACATGTTATATAGGTGTTGTGTTTTACCCTAACAAATTATGATTAGCATTGACTTATGAACCAAATTTATAAGTTTGTTAGCATATTGATGGCAACAATTGAATCAAAGCCTTCTGGAGACTTGCTTGACATGGTGAAATAAACTACAATGCTCATGGATGTGTATACTGAGAGTTTAGGGAGAATTGTTGAGACCATAGTTCATCGATTCACTTCAATAACATTTTAAAATAATTGCAGACATTTATGCAATATTTGCTGACATGGATATCAATTTGTCTTGAGCTATCTTTTTTATTTTGCATACCTCACAACTTTTTATGGCTTCCTTTGTGGAAATATGATACTTACATTTTAATATTGGTTGATGGTCACAGTTGAGGGGTGCCATTGATCCAAAACGGCACTACAAGAAGTGTGATTCAAATTCAAAGACTCTTCCAAAGTACTTTCAGGTAAGTTCAGTGTTGTTGAAAGTCCCATCAAAAACTGATTTTCTGGTGATTCATTTTAACTTTTTGTCCTCGTTTGTGTATGATCAGATCGGAACAGTTGTAGGATCTCCGCTGGACTACTTCTCAGGCAGATTAACAAAGAAAGAAAGGAAAGAAACGTTTGCAGATGAGTTGCTTGCTGATAAAAAAGATTCAGCTTACAGGTAAGATAGGCATTGAAAGAAACATATTTTCAATGCAGTCTATTACTTGCATGAATTTAAAAAACATCACTCTATCGAGCTTAACTTTACTTCATACCAACGTGCTTGTTTTGTAGGAAGCGTAAGGTTCTAGAAATCGAAGAGCAGAGGCAACCAGCTGGGAATGCAAAGTGGAAGATCAGAGGCCAAAGTTCTCTGAAACGTGCAAAAGAAAGGAGGAAGTTCTGAATTTTACAGACTTGTTGGTTGGAGTTTATTGCATTAAGTTTTGTTCACATGCAGGAAATTAATGCAATGGAACAAATTATAATGGTTATATTTAGTCTATTCATATAAGTCTAGTCAATGTTTGGAGTCTCATTTTTGTATTATGGAAATTATGGTCATAATTTCTTTCTACTTTAGCATTTGTATTATAAGAATTAGTTATTATTGTTGTTTAAGTACATTTTTAAAAAAATGAAGTTAATAATTTGAAGCTGAGTACGCATGCTATCTTAATCATCACCAATAATAAGGTATACTGCCTATAATTCTTATTAGTGTGTAATTACTTCTCTTTTAATCCATTTAATGTACTTTTCTTTTTATCAGTTGAGTCTTCGAAAGCTAATTGTTCCACAATTATATTTTAGATGAAAAGAAAATATCAATATAAATTTAGCATTTCTCTCTCAATCAAAATCTATGTTGATTGTTTGTCCCTTAACAATAATAAGGTGATTTCTTAGTTTATGATGATAATGGTGTTAAAAATTGTCTAAAATGGTTCATAAATTGGCAAATTTATTAACTGAAAAAAATTAGACTTAATACATGTTTTAATCTCTTAATTTAATGTTTCATTTTAGTTCCTTCATTAAAGAAAACATTATAAGTTATTTATATTATCTTATTTAATATTTTCTGTTAATTTATAAAAAAAAAGTTAAGTTCTAGTGATGCAAGATAACAATAATGTTATTGGTATTATTGTATTACTGTTTAAATTGTGAAGTTTTTCGAAAACAAAACTACAGTAGTATTAGGTTTTAATTATATATACTGACTCAGATTTTTATCAATAACTTTGTTATGCTACATTACTAAAACTTAACGTTTTTTTGATAAAAAATTAAAGAAGGGACCAAATAAAATAACAAAAATGAAGTTAAAGAAATGATTTATATTTTTTTTTAGCTAAAGAACTAAAGTGAAATATAATTATAAAAAAGAATTATTGACAAATTTATTAATTAGAACTCTCTTAGCATGGGAACGCAAACATTTAGTGCAATTTAATTGGACCACAGATAATGGAGGCTAAAAAGAGCATGCTACATATTACCATGAAGATACTTGAAGATTACAATCACATCTTAAATGAGAACCTTTAATTATTTTGTAAATCGTGGCTAATGGTTAAACCTTGGACAAAAGCTATCCTCCTCGAGGAACTTAACTTTGTATGTTCCTACTTGAGTTTAAATATGGAGAATTCCTTTCTTAAAGTCAGAACTAGACAATGGACACAAAATTATGGCTATCTAAAACAATAATGAGGTCATTTTTGACAATATAGAGGACACTTTTAGGGTTTTCATATCTCATTTCACTAATATCTTTACTTCCAACAATCATGACAATCATCATTAAATCATAAATGTTGTAAAAAAAACTGAGTTAATCCTAAGACTAAAGGAGATATATATATATATATATATATATATATATATATATATATATATATATATATATATATATATATATATATATATATATATATATATATATATATATATATATATATATATATATATATATATATATATATATATAATTGTAGAAATTTATCTTGAGTTATCCCTTAAACACAATTAGATTGAATCCATTTTAATATTTTTGTGTTTGAGCAATTGGTCAAAATCAACTATGTGCCTTAAATCACAAGTTAGAAAAATTAAAACAAGCATGTTTGAACTTTGATTCAAATCACAACTTTGACTGATTTGAATAATTCAAAGAGAAATGTGATTTTTTTTGTACTGTGATGATGACTCTAATCAAGGATGTGTCTGATTAGAGTCAAATACGCCTTGACTTGAATCACAGCCAAGGTTGATTTGAATCAATTTTAAAAAAAAAATCACCTTTAGTTATGTGATTCGAAACATGTAATTGCTTGATTCAAATCATGATTCGAATCAAACATAGCCATTTTTAGATTTTATCGCTTTGATTCAAGTCATTCTTTCATCTAATTCAAACCATAATTTAATCATTTGACTTGAATAAATTATTCCCTTTCTCATCTTTTTTTGTGTCAAACCTCTAACACATATAAAAATTATTTTTTCATTATCTCAAAATATTGTGGATAGAGATAGAAAATTCTAACAAAATCAAAAACCTATACTTTTACAATCCTTGAGAGAAATCTAGATGTGTTCTTCCATTGACAAAACCCCCCTTTGATTAAATCCTAGAGAAATTTTTTTCAGAGTGTTGTTTTTATGAGATTCAGTAGTGTTGTTTGAGATTCTTCAGATCATCAACCACCTTCAACTTGTGAATCAAGAGACCCCATTATTGTGGTACACAACTATAAAGATTAAATTTGAGACGTAGATGCGAAGGTACATTAGAGAAACTAATATTTTTGTGAAGCTGTTTGTGTGCATTAAGTTAAAGAATCAAGTTTGTGATTATGGCATCTGGAAACTAACTTCTAGCAAAGATAAAAATCATATCTACTCCTTTGAAGACTTTGGTAGAGCTGAGTGAAGGCTGTTGTAGAATCAAGTTGGGAGTTTCAATATCGTTCAGTAAAACAAAGGCTCAAACAAAGGACATCTGATAGATTTGAGTGAAGGTCATTACCGACGGATGCTTAGAGCAAAGTTTTGGTTATAACAAGGAATTGACTCAAGATCAATGAAGATCTTGTGAATTGACAATTTTTAGTGTTCTGCCTCATTAGAATGAAAATAAATTTCTAGACATGTATTTTCTTAAGTATTGTTTAGCTTGAACTATTTAGTGTTATCTTGATTATTTGTTGTACCATAACTCTTGTATTAATTTGCAACTTAGTGGAACACAAAATATATTGTAATAGTTTATTATTAGAAGCTGGACTAATCGTAAAGCAAGGACGAATGTGTTAAACCAATATAAATCATGTGTATATCTCTCTTTAATTATTATTATAATATTATATACTTAGGTTTATTTATTTTTCTAGAAATCGTGCGTGGTTAGGTTTTACCAGTTTAATAATGCTTTATTGTATATGTGTAGGTCTGTGATAAATCAAGTCATTTTAGCATTCTTTCTGAAGATTATTATTGCGCGGACTTATGATGCTATATTGGTTATATGATTAACTATATTCAATTTACGTGAAAATTGAACTTAGATAATCGAAGAATCGTGTGTTTAATGTCTTCATGAAACTTTGAAACTTTGATTTTTAAGGGATTGGTTTATTCAAACCCTCTAAAACAATATACAACCATATTCTACCTAAAATTAGCATCAGAGTTGGTCTTTTGATCATGTTTTATGACTTCAAAAGTTGAGAATAAAGATGATAAGAAGAGAGGTACAATAGAGCCCTTATTTTCAAACGCGAGAATTATGAATATTGGAAAGATAACATGTATGTACACTTGATGTTGATTTATAAAATACTTTGGGTAGCTATTTAAGACGCCCCTTTTATCCCTAAAAGGGTCGTTGATGGTGTAACTATTAAAGTCCCCAAAGGATTGGAATGATGAAGAGTCTAAGAAAGCCTCTTATGATTTGAAAGCGAGAAACTGATGATAGTCCATTATTGCATGAAATTAGGCAAATAATCATAGGAAAACAAGTCAAAGAGGAGATAAAATGAAAAATAAATACCAAAAAATGAGGAAAAAATAACTAAGTGTGAAGAAATTGGATTTAGTTAAAAATCGGGTGAAAAAGGAGCAAAAGCGTGCAACTATTGGACTAATCACATGCAGCATCGCGTGTACGATGAATTTGTACTAGCTGCATCACGCGTGGATGATATATTTGTACTAGCTTCATCACGCGTGCAATGCTGGTCCTCACACGCGCTTGTCGCTACTGCGAAAAACGAGGCCGACAATGACAAAAGAGTCTCCACTGTGCGTTATTTATCCCAAGGGAGGGAAAGGAAACGCTCAGAGAAAACCTAACGAAAAAGGGAAAAGACGAGGTCATCGCAACCAAGTCCTAGATTCGGGAGTCGGTTACGCAAGGGGAAGGTATTAGCACCCCTCACGTCCGTCGTACTCGACGGGATCCACGCTTGTCGTCTATCTAAAAGGGTGTTAATCTATCTAGCTAAAGGCTTAAGGACAAAAGAAAAGAAAAATGACTCGGCAGAATACAACAGCTCTATGCCTATGTATTCCCGTCTGGAACGAGAAATCAGAGTCAACGTAGTTCGCCTAACTACGGGTGAAAGGTGGGGAAGGTTGCTTGCCGAGATATCGCATCTCGTGCCTACGTACTTTCATCTGGAATGAAAGATCAGAGCAAACATAGTTTGGGCTAACAAGACCACAGGTTGGTTCAACAATTTTTATCCGAGTAGGGTTAACAAACGGTTCTAGCAGTTGGTGTATGCAGCTCGACCATTGGAGACTTAGGCGTTTACCGTTTGTGGTAGAACCGAGAGTTAACAAAACTCTCCTTATGAAAATGTTTTCCAAGGATTAAAGGTCCCAAGGGACAAAAAGAAGTTTGATCTTTGTTTTTGAAGTCTTTTAGAGAAGAAGTGTTTTGAGTTTTGTTTGTAACTCATGTTGCACTAAAGACTATGACTTAGGAGCGAATGCGTCGCATAACATCCTAAGGATGTACACTAAACACTCTAAGCAATCGAGAGAAAGCCACTCAATCACTATTTCCCAAGTAGCTTAAGGCTCTTAGCGTACAACATTTGGTATCCTTTATTAGATGTTTTAGAAGTGTTTGAAGATGAGAAGAGAAAGGACGCACTAAAGGGAACTAATCCAATCTTAAAGTTGTCATGCAAATTTGATCCTATGATTGAGGTTAGGAGGGAGCTACCTACTGTTATCATGCATGGTTAGAACCCTAATGTCTATCACATTCCAACTTTAACAAGAAGGAATGAAAATCCCAAGGGAAGGAAGACAAAAAGAAAAAGAAGAAAACAAGCATAAGAATGCAAACATGAAATGCAAACATGGAAGGCAAGGATGCAATAC